TTATTTTGTACTGTTCTCTGAGGTCCACTTATAATGTTATCAAGATTTTTACATCAAAAAACATAATTTAGAAGAAATAGGTCATTTTCTGTCCTGTTTTGACCTCCCTAATTTGAATAGGTGTGGCGGATTGTAAACTCGGAAGTAAATGCCCACTGCTATGATTGGCTAACAGTTGTGTATGTTTGACAGCCTACATCCTTCACAGATGAACACTGTGATTTAGGTTAAAACACATAAATAAATAATCAGTACATATTAGGGCTTGGCAAAAAAAAAGTTTTTTCGGTTTATCTTTTTTTTTTTAAATGATGTCGATTCGATATCGATTCTCGAAAACCACAAATCTGTTTTTTCCGGTATTTATTTCAGCAAACATTTAACACAAGATCTGATTAACGTGAATTTTATCATTAGTCTTCTCCACTGGATGTCTCCCTCTTATTTACCTTGCGCGATGTTACAACGGAAAGCCTGTCCTGACGGCTGAAGGTCTGGAATCCATGGCAGCTTACATTGGCCTAGGCCCGCTCATGAGGCGGTTTGAACGACATGTCAAACAACCAATCACAGTTAGTTTCGTTCATCGTCACGTTTCGCGACGTCCTCGTCCAGAACCGCTCTTTATACCCCCACCCAAACTTGGAACTTTCATTGCCCCACCAGTCTACTCCACTATCACACCTTACCAGAGCCACTTACGTTCACCTGTCCGATTGATCGACAACCCCCTCAACATGCCGCCTTACACTCCTCCGCCCATCCTCAGCCCAGTTCGAGAGGGTTCGGGTCTTTACTTTTCCACCTTTCTGTCGGCCGCCGCTGCAGCCGCAGCGAATAATCAGGGGCTGCCCCCACCTGCCACTCCAAAATCTGCCACCCGTAGCCTCCTGCGCTCCAGTGAGTTCCTTTTACTGTCTCTACAAAGTGCATTAATAAAATTAGTTAAATACAACCTTAAATAGAATTCTGGTTTAGATTCATTGTTTAGAATTGAATGACTTAATGACAACCAAAAACCTAAACTTAAGTACTGTTCCAAAACCTAGTAGGCTGCCTAGCCAGCTACCTTATAAAACCGTGTCCTAACTTTATTACAATTTTATAAGGAACTCCATGTGCATCACTCAAGTAACTTGATGAACAGTTGATTCCAATGAAGTTTGACGTTAACAAAAGTTGCTAAGCTAACAACTTGATATTCTTATAACTCAATACTGGATTGAGTTTGAGGACAAATTCTCTGAAAATTTGTCCACTGTCTTATGTTCGTTTTGTCTCCTAAGCTCCTCCTAATGCATGCTAGAGCTACCTGATTAGCAAAGGAGACATGCTATGCTGCCTTAGAATTTGCTACCCAAAATATTGAGGAAAATGAAGTAGAATGAGCTGCCTACTGTTTGTAACAGCTTAAAGTGCTGTAAGTAGGCGCCTCATTAGGGTTTGGAACAGACTTAGTATACCTAAGATATATGTCCTAACAAGCCAGGATACATGTAATTAGACATAATTGATGTGCATATCATGACATATAATAAGAAACACTGTTTACTTTGCATCTAAGTAGTCTTTTTGTTTGTATATGTCCAGACAGCATTGATATAACCCCTCCAGTTCTCTCTGCTATGAGTGAGGCTACACCTGTCAGCATTGAGCCGTAAGTACATACGCTATTCAAAAATCACCCCCACATATTACGCTTCACAAGTTTCTTTAATTAGCTTACGCTTCTGGCCAATTATCACTTTCTTTACTTGGTTAACCTTGCCTTTTTTATTTTGCTACTTGCTTACTAGATTTCATTAAGCTGGCTGAAAGTCAGTTGTCAGAATAGCTGTTTCCTCACATTTATTAGACAATACTCAATGGAGCAGCCCAGAAATCACTTTATTTTCTGTACAGAGCTGCAGCTTTACACAGCATAAACGTTGACAGTGTGAAAGCACAATGTGAGCCTGCTGTTGAAGATGCTGCTGCTTCGTTTACACTGCTAATGCATGTGGTGTAAACAGGCCTTACAGTGCTGTTATGTTGCTATTACTTGATTGTAAGTTGTAAACTGTAGACTGCAGATGCAAAATTCATGGTTTTAGCTTGTATGTTAACAGTGGAGCTGGTTGGGGCGCTATTATGTCATGCACAAGTGGATCTGGTAGTGTTTTTAAGGGAAATTACATCTTAGTGGGTTTCTTGGATCATACATGGGGTATTTCAGAGCTATGTTTTCAAGAACAGAGTAGGTGGGGGATGGTGGCTAAACAGAGGGAATTATGGGATATCTTCTCTGACTGGTACCAGCTGGTTTATCTAATGGCCAGAACAGTGTTTGGTTGAAATTCTTTCTCTCTTACATACACAGTGAATGGCTTCAGATCCCTTCATTTTGGAGTTGGCCAATGCACCACGAAAGCACATCTTGGAACAAAATAATAAAACACAATCTGTCTTGCCTTATCCCCAGACCTTGGTAGTCAGATACTGGAACATTTGGCTTTGAGAAACATGGGGTGTTAATTTTATGCAAATACCCATGGTCAAAATCTACTCTTGTGAATGCCGGAGTTCTCAAAAAAAGGAGCTGAAAATGAGATGAGCAATAAATTAATTGAAGTGGCAGTCTGAAACAACTTTACTAGTCCTTAAATGGCTCTGATTAGTGAACCAGACACCTTTTAGAAACAACACAAACTACCTGCGGACTGACCTGAAGTGGAATGCGATTGTTTCTCAGGAATTTCTCATTACATAGGCATGTTTCAGTAGCAGCACTAAGTTGTGCCTCATGTTTAGCTTCCAATACACTTTGAACCACAAATATTACCCTTTAGCCAACAGTTCTTGTGACCCCTGTCCACAAAGGCTTTTAGAGATGTTTCTCAAATAATGCTCATTAGGTTTTGCACAAACTTCATGTTAGTCTTTTTCTCAAATTGTTAGGGATTGTTCACCTAAAAATGAAAATTCTGTCATTAATTACTCACCCTCATGTTGTTCCAAACCCGTAAGACGTTCGTTCATCTTCAGAACACAAATTAAGATGTTTTTGAGGAAATCCAAAAATATTTCACATACTTTTGAAAATCCAGCATTTAGTTGATCCTGATAAGCGCTCTTCGTCACAGTTGTAAACACGACGGCTTTCTTATTTCGTGAGGGGGTTTGGCGGCATGGCATCTTTGTTTCCAGGCAGAATGCGACACACACGTCTCCTGGAACTCACCCTCATGTTGTTCCAAACCCGTAAGACGTTCGTTCATCTTCAGAACACAAATTAAGATGTTTTTGAGGAAATCCAAGACCCTCCATAGACAGCAATGGTTCTATTACGTTGAAGGCCCAGAAAGGTAGTAGGACAATGTTAAAATATTCCATGTGACATCAGTGACTTATGCATCAGACGTTTAGCCAACGGTCCGTGGGCATGACGTCTGAGGCTGAGACTAGCAATGCTTTGGTGAAATGCTATAGGAATACTATAAATCTGCGGAAGCATTTGACATCACTCATACGGCGCCATGATTTCTGCAATGAATGAATGGTGGATAGCGCAGACGCACTCTTTTGTTTACTACACGCATACAGACGCGCGTGGTGTTTTCAGCCTCTGCCACTGCTGATATGAACACATGGATAAATTCTGTCATTAATTACTCACCCTCATGTTGTTCCAAACCCGTAAGACGTTCGTTCATCTTCAGAACACAAATTAAGATGTTTTTGAGGAAATCCAAGACCCTCCATAGACAGCAATGGTTCTATTACGTTGAAGGCCCAGAAAGGTAGTAGGACAATGTTAAAATATTCCATGTGACATCAGTGATTCAACCGTAATTTTATGAAGCTATGAGAATACTTTTTGTGCAAAAAGCAAAAATAACTACTTCATTCAACAGTTTATTCTCTTCCGTGTCAGTCTTCGACACGCATTCACGAGAGTACCACGACAAACCTTGTTTTGTTTTTTTACATTTCTTTGTGCACAAAAGGTATTCTCATAGTTTCATAAAATTTAAGGTTGAACCATTGATGCCACATGGACTATTTTAAAGATATCCTTACTACCTTTCTGGACCTTGAACGTGGTAGTTGCATTGCTGTCGATGACGACTTCAAAACTCCTGAAGTGTTTCCACTTTTGTGTGCCTTATGCATCAGACGTTTAGCCAACGGTCCGTGGGCATGACGTCTGAGGCTGAGACTAGCAATGCTTTGGTGAAATGCTATAGGAATACTATAAATCTGCGGAAGCATTTGACATCACTCATACGGCGCCATGATTTCTGCAATGAATGAATGGTGGATAGCGCAGACGCACTCTTTTGTTTACTACACGCATACAGACGCGCGTGGTGTTTTCAGCCTCTGCCACTGCTGATATGAACACATGGATATAATCTCCAGCTGCTCTGAGAGTCACTTCATTAGCATTTTACCGTTTAAATTGACTACTGTCATATCACATACACAGCAGCTGCAAGTTCTTCACGGCAGCCCGTCAAAATAAAAGTTTGGTTTAAAGTGAAGAAACTGTGACAGAAATATTTTACTATTGCGCAGCCTTAAGACTCTATGTAGCAACAATACTACTACTACTATTACTACTAATAATAATTATTAATAAAACTTTATTTTTAAAGGAATAATCACATTTGTTTCCTTTTTAATTTTAACAGTAAACCTGTGTTGTGCAGCACTTTGTTTGTCAAAAAATAAGTTGTCGCATTTTGGTGCAATATGGACACGCGACACGTTCAGAATGAATAAACTTTTAATAACCTACAGAACAGCGCGAGCCGGAAGCAACACGCCTCACGCGGGCAGGGCTTATATGCTCCGAGAACGGACACTGCACTAGTGATACAAAACACACAGGTCTGTTAAGAGCAATACTTTTAATATAGACAAATTATTAATAGGCTGGGCTACTGTACGTTTTTTTTTTTATGACTGCCGTATTCACAAGTATTTTCCAAGCAAATTAAGTGCACGTTTTTATCATGTGTAAAATTACTGATTAACATGGCGGATAAAAGCAGCTCGTTTTTTTACACCAATAATATACTATAAGCTACTGTAAGCGTACTGCTTACAGAACTTTTACAGATTTTTCAAGCTTGATGTGCTGTTGTGGTAGGCCAGTTTCAAATCGCTCAATTTAAAGTGCTCCCACACAGCTGAGGTCTTCGGCATTTTTGTCTTCTCTTCCAGATGAACTGAATCATGATGTTCATGACGTTCACTTATGGGCGATTCATATTCAAGTGAGAATGAGAACCGTTTCTCAGGGGATGCCAGGTGTTCGAAAAAAAATGAAAATAATATTCATATCTCAAAATTGAAAATCCATTGCCAACCCACCGAACGAATAATCGAATATTCTGGTCCAGCCCTATTGATTACTAGCATTTTTCAAAATATCTTCTTTTGTGTTCAACATAAGAAAGAAACTTATACAAGTTTGGAACGACTTGAGAGTGAGTAAATGATAACAAAATGCTAATTTTTAGGTGAACTATTCCTTTATTGACAGAATTTTAATTAAAACATTTTTTAAATAATCTCTTTAAGCTAATAATATAGTAAATAAAAAAATATATTTATATAAATAAATAAAAAATGCAGAATATAAACATTTTCGCTGGTGGTCTGATGCTTTTGGACTACACTATTAAAAAAATTTTATTCATTTAGTTTGGATTGCTACAGCAGCCTGTTTATGTTCACTCTCTCTTGCAGTCGGATAAACATTGGATTGCGGTATCAGGCGGAGGTCCCAGAGCTGAGAGAGCGCTCTGCAGCGCAGCACAACCTACACAAGGCTGAACTGGTGTGGGCGCCACTGCCTGACCTGGAGGCCAACACTGAGCAACAGCAAAGAGGTTTACAACTTACACAATACCACACTAGCTTCTCTTTTTTTAATTCATTAAATTGAATGAAAGGAAATTGCAGGAATATGTTCTGCAATTTTGCCTTATTTAAATGAAATCTGCATGACCATATGTTTAAATGTGTGTCTTTCCTGGACCTTCTGTGTGTCCCTGCAGTGGATGACCTCATGCACCTGGCGTGCTCGAGTGCGTTGCATGGAGGAGGGACCAATCAGGAACTGGCCATGCACTGCCTGTATGAATGCAAGGGTGACGTCATGGTGAGTGTCATGCAGTAGCACACTGACATATTTTAAGTGCACTTCCTGCTGTATTGTGTACCAATCAAACCTGTTTACGCCTGACTGCTCCTTTTCTTAAACTGCTGATCACTGAGAGTGATAGATGGAGGGTTTGTCATACGAGTAGACTATATCTGAATGAACAGTTTGTTTTTGAGTCATTTAAGGATATCTGGTGACATCTGTGACAGGAGATATCAGTTTAGGGATCATCTTTCTGACTTAAAATGAAATTATGTGGAATTATGTATTGCAGAGCCTGAAAAAACAAAGTGTTGATGTGACTGATGTGTGTAAATGCATTACACGCACATGGAAAGTGTGTATGTAAATGAAATGGTCTGCAGTTTTTCTTTCAACAGCATTTTACATGGCAGCATGCATATGAAAAGCATAGGGCCCTATGAAAATGTTTATTTTTTTCCCCAAATTCAGTTTTTTTTTTTTTTTCCAAATTCTGTTTTATCCATTTTCAATTTTCTGGTTTCCCTTTTTTTCCGTTTTCATTTTTCTAGACTGTTTTAATGGTTAAATTAAGTTGTATTAATCAAAAAACATGCCTAATTAATTGAAATCATGAAACTTGCACAATTAAACAGCAATTTATTACAAGTTTAACATTTTTAAGGCCCTATGAAATACTTTTTTTTTTTCTCTCTCAAATTTAGTTTTATTTTAACCAAATTCTATGGTTTCCATTAAAGGGGTGGTTCAGTGGTTTTTTTCTAGGCTTGATTGTGTTTATGGGGTGCAGTCTAACATGTGTTAATGCTTCGTTTTTTTAAAAACGCATTATTTTTCACATAATTTACCTTTATTCCACACCGCTCTGTCCCTTCTATGAGAAACGCGCCGATCAATTTCCTGCTTTTATGAAGCACCTCCCTCAGAAATAGGCGATGGGCTCTGATTGGTTAGCTTAGCCCAGTGTGTGGCTAAACTGCCTTGTAACGCTTCTCATAGCTATGTGAAAATAAGTGTATAATTGTAACCGTTCTTTGCGGAGCTGAGCTGAGAGAGAGATGCAGAGCGTGTGTAGAGCAGGGGAACGCGAGGAACAGTATTAAGAACCGCTGCTTTAGAACATTGATTTTGAAACTTGTGAATCCATTAGAATCGTTAGAAGACAGAATCGTGATTCATATATGAATAGATTATTACCTGCACCTCTAGTTTTCTCATCCTCTTCTCTAAAGCAGCGCAGCATGGCCTCGCCCCCTTTGCTGCCTTTTCCCGAGGGCGGGGTTTATCTGGGTTTGTTACGTCACAAACCCGGGAAGTAACTCGTTGTAGTCCCTACCAGCCGTTTTTGTAGGCATTAAACTGCCAGGATATCTCCGTTTGCATTGAACTTTCAGCTTCTTAACTTTGCAGATATTGTTTATGCTCAAACAGCAACATTACACACTAACTAACGTTAAAAAAGTGAAATCGCAATGAATTTCTTGATTTCATTTTAATGGTTTCATCAAGTTTTAATAGTCAAAAGCATCTAAAAAACATTTCCCCCCTTTTTTCAGAAATACTGTGTTGTGTATTTTATACACAAATATTCCTAAAAAATAATGTTTTAATAATAATTGTATTAGTAGTAGTTCTGTCACAGGTTCTTCAAGTTAGACCAAACTTTTATTTTGACTGGTTGCTGTAAAGACCTTTAAGTTTCCGTTTGTATATTTAGATGAAAATAGGAAAATTTCAGGAAAAAATAAAAATTCATTGTAAATAATTCACAAGTTCAGTTTATTAGCTACTGCATTAGGAATCAAGAATTAACAATGAATAACAATTCTTGCAGCATTTGTTAATCTAAGTGAATGCTAATATATGAATATACAATTGTTCATTGTTAATTCATGTTCATCCATAATACATTGTCTAATGATAATTTATACACAAATACTACCCTAAATGAACAATTGCTGTAATACTTTCTATTAATTTATTTAGAATTAAAAGTACTAAACTAAATTCTCTCTAAGACTGCTGTAATGTACAGTACAATGGAATATTTTTAATCAAGGTCCTTTTAAATTAATGTGTAGTGTTTTTCCCCCCAAAACAAATCTTTCCAAAGCAACTATATCCAACTATATATACCTTAGGAACTAGGGATGCACGATATTATCGGACCGATATCCGAATCGGCCCATAATGGCTTTAAATGTACATATTGGCATCAGCCCGATTTGAAGAATTATGCCGATATGTCTTGCCGATAAGAGGAATAGGTTAACTCACATGTGCTCAGGGTGTGCTAGCGATTAGATCACGTCAGCAGTGTGACTCATTTCTGAAGCAAAGTTTTGCCTGAATGGTGATTGGATTCATTGCTTTGGGTAAGCTGCATTTAAACTGAGAATGCATGTACAGAATGATGCATTTGGTGTGTGATAAGAGTAAATGTAATAGCACCTGCAGCGGCAGCCTCCTCCGGGTCATAATGCCCATTTGGTAAGGAGTTTTAATTCTGTAGGGGATGCTGTTGGCCTACTTTTAATGAAATGAAAGTAAAATACACAAATAACATTTAGATTGTTTCTGATTAAACAAAGCAGTAATTGATGTCATAAAATCATGAGTATGTTTTGATTTAAAGGTCAGAAGCTATAGCTTACATGAAAAAAAATCACAAACATGACACTTGTAAATTAAAT